CCAATATGGGTTCTTTTAGGAAGAGCATAGGATTTATGTGTAAATACCCCTATTCTGCTATTTTTTACATATTGAAACCCAATAAGGTATTTGGGTTATTGTATTTTTTTAAAGCCTGTGGTTAATTCTGTTCAGAATGGCTGGATTATACAATAGGGTTTTAATCTGAAGAGGCTAATATACTGAGTATTAGCCCACCTTCAAGTCACCCAGGATAATAGTAATTTCAACAATCCCTCTTCTTTTTTAGAGATAATTTTCATTGCAATTAATTTGTTCAGCATTATTTAGCACTATTCTTTAGCATGGTATGGAGCAAGGTAGCAAGGATGTGTTAAAGACAAGTTAGTAAACCTAAACTATTGGGAACAGTGTTTATGTCACTGTCAGCATTTCTAATTATTAAAAATAAAGTTGAATAATTTTAGGAAAATTTGCCAAGTTCAGCAGAGCTGAAGTCCCTCACTGGCTAATGAAAGAGTGGTTCTTAGTTGACACTGAATCTCTATTACACATTACTTTTCCCTCTTTATTCACTCTCATTTTCTGCTCATTTATGAACACTACTACATAATCGCCTCTGAACTAGAACTACCTCTTATTTAATCCTCCCAAACTCCTTCTCCTTCATGTCTCTTTCTTCTGCTCATGTCTGGTCACTCAACCCAGCATTTCCCTTCTGCAATCTTTATCTTACAGGGAACAGAACAGGGGGGCCTGACAGCAGGGTAATACCATGTAGAGATCCAGTTTTAAAAGATAACTGAACTGCACTGCAAAAATATGGATCAGAAGGAAAAAAATCAGGAGAAAAATAAGGGCCTAAATTGGGATAGTAATGACAGTAAAAGCAAGACAGGAAAAGAATGCTTTTTAGATATCCTGAAAGTAGACTGAGTAGCTGTGGCATCTTGCTGTAGGACAGTGATAAGGAGGAGAGAATGAAAAATGACAGTTTCCTAACTACACTGTTTGTTAGATATTGCTTCCTTTAACAGGAAAGAGAAGTGTGGAATCAAATATGGGTCGTTGAGATGTTCAGGTTTCCACAGAGCTTCACTGAGGGGTGATATCCAACATTCCAGCAGACAATCAGTATCCCATATAGGCAGAAAAACTTCTAGATGAAGAGAAATAAGATGAAGAAAATCCTCCAACCATCTCCTTTACATCTTCTCTTGTTCTTACTGAAATAAAATGTGTTGAGAGGTTACTGCATGCCAAGTCCTAGGATAGGCATTAGAGAAAAAAGAAAAGGTAGCGGGGGGGAAAGAATTCCTGCCCCAGGAACTGGAAATCTCTGTTGGGACACCAAAAATAAAAATGATATGAAGTGTTGGGAGGAGGGGAGGTGACCCAAAGGGTCTTCCATAAGAAGAAGTGGCATTTATAAGAGAGTGACTGGCTTAAGGACTTGCATAACTCTTTGAATTACCACTTCCCACTTCCCTTCACAGTCTGTGTTCCCAGCTGTGTTCCCAGAAGGCAATAAGGTTGATTTCCCCAAAACACAGCCCCACAGACTTCACTGTACTCATCCACATTCCTTCTGTGGAAACAGTGCTGTGACTTCTTTGTGGAAGAACTTTGGTTAATCAGCCTTTTATATCTCGGTAACAAGGTATTCAGGTCTAACCTTTGGAATGCTATGCCACAGTATGGTAGAGGTGAAAAGTTAATCCTGATTCTTGGGACCTCTTTGGAATTATATATCCAGAGGTATATATAATAGCACCTGATGAAGTTGCTACCCCCTCCCAAAGATATCCCCACTTCATATTTAGGTTGGCCCAGCAATACCACTCCTCTGCATTTACCCAAGTGAAATGAAAACATATCTTTACAAAAACTTGTATAAGGCTCTTCACAGAAGTTTTATGCATAATAGTAAAAAACTAAAACTACTCAAATGTCCATCAACTGCTGAATGAATTCTTAAAATATGGCCTAGCCATACAATGAAATATTAATCAGCAATATAAAGAGATGAGTAATTGATAGAAAAATATGGATAGATCTCAAAAGGATTATGTTGAGAAAGAAGCCAAGTAGGAAAAGCTGCACAAAGTCACTTATATGAAATTCTACAGAGGAAAATGCCAGTGGTTATCAGAGGTCAAGGGAATGAAGGAGGAGACAGATGATCGGCAAAGGGGCACAAGGTGGTGTTGGGGTGGTGAAGGATATATCTTATGTTATGATTGTGGCAGTGTCTACCTTATGCTATACATTTTCCAAAACTTAATCAGATTATACACTTAAGTTTGGCACGTATCTTACATAAATTATACTTCAATAAAGCTTATTTTTGGCTAAAAATCAGGACAGGCTATGGAGTAGGCCCAAGCACTCACAGCCAGAAGATGCCTGGCATCTGAGCCAGCACTACTTCAACTTTCTGATTGCTTCAGCTCCAAGAACTCATTTTCCTGAACGTTTCAGCCTTAGACCCTGACATCCCTTAGCTGCTTCAGTCTAAAATTGCTAATAACTCACAGTCATCCTACCACCCACCCTCCGGGTCAAAACCAGCCTGCTCACCCATACAAACCCTTTATGGGCCTAGGACTAGCAGCCTTCAAATGGCAGAACTACTGACTAGAGAAAATACCTGGTAAGGACTGCACTTAACTATTCAGTACCTACAACACAGACTCTCAGCTTTGCTATTGTTATCAGTTTTTTAAAGGGGGAGAGGGTTGGACTTGTTTGTTTTCTCAACAGTTGACAGTATAGTTTCTCTACAGCTATCTGATTCCCAGTGGTCCTATTGAGACCAAGCTTTTCCATTATCACTGTGGCTACAGCCTCAGGGTTAATGCACATCCAGGTCCAGGGAGGATGTAATTTGGGATGGGAGAAAAGGATCTTGAATATAAAATGAATTATTTCTGCAGCACAGATCTCAAGTCTGGAAGGGGTTTTGCATCAAGAATGCAAAAACACTAATTCAAAGGGATATGGATGTACTCCTATATTCAATGCAACACTATTTACAATTGTCAGGTTATGAAACAACCTACATGCCCAAGGATAGATAAGTGGATCAGGAAGATATGGATATATATGCACAACAGAATACTCTCACCCATAGATATATAGATATAGAAAGATGAACTCTAGCAACATCCTTTTGCAACAACATGGATGGAGCCGGAAGGGATTATGCTAAGCGTAATAAATCAGATAGAGCAAGATAAATACTGGATAGCTTCATTTATATGTGAAATATAGAGACACAAAATAAAAGGTTAGACAAACTGAACCAATAAAAAACCCTGGAAATCTGACTGTAGTGTTGCGACTAACAGGTGGGAGAATGAAGTGGGCAGGGAACACAATGGACTATGGTGGAGAACAATGGTGCTTTGTTGGTAGGTGTGGTGTGCTGCTATCCATCTGAGTAGAAGTGATCCTATGTATGGGCCTCCCCGGTGGCGCAGCGGTTGAGCGCTGGGTTGCGAAGCTGCCCGCAGACTCTGCAGCGCCGGTTCGATCCCCGGCTGCTCCCCGGCCACCGGAGGAGGGTCCCACATGGCGCGCAGACCTCTCCTGCTGCCCGCTGCTCCCCTCAGCAGTGTACTTCGGTCCTTCTGCCTGCTCTGCTCCCCGCTCTGGCTCTGGTGAATTCTCTCACCCTCCTGCGCTTCTGACTGTACCCAGTGCTTGTATAAATAAATAAAAATAAATCTTAAAAAAAAAATTAAACAGAAATTGTTTAAATATATATATATATATATATATATCATGTCAAATCACAGCATGGCTTAGCAATAAAAATAAAATAAAATCAAAGTTAAAAAGAAGACACATCATCAAACTCCATCATTTGCTTTTTTCCTTTATCCTACTGAGATCCTTAATTACGACTCTGAAATTCCTCAGTAACTATTTTTAAGTTCTATTTTCAGAATTTCACCAGGTACTGACAGAGACTTGCAACAGGAACCTTATAAAAACTGGCTTTTGTACACTTGATGTCATATGAAGTAAAGGAATTGAGCACCTCTCTGATGTGCACTACCTCATCTTGCCCTCACAACATCCTGCTAGTTACATCTATCATCCTTTTCTTTGCAGACTCAAAGAATAAGCAACGATTTAACCTCAGCTAGTGTAGAATTTGGATCTGGCCCCAGGACTATTTGGTTTTTTATGTTGCTAAGAAAAAAACTGTGGAAATTGCACATAAAATGTGGATTAAAACTTGGTTTAATAGTCACAAGGTCCTGGATTTGCTCTCTTCTCAACTACTTACTAGCTGTGTGGAACTTAGGCAAGAGAGTTTCCCTCTTTATTAGTTTCTTCACTTAGAAAGAATGTAGGTTCTACCTCATTGAATTATGAAAGGATCAGATAATTCACACAATAAACATAGTAAATATTAGCTATTGGTATGCTCTCCAATGCCAAGCTGGCTTCCAGTGGAATACACAGAACACATCTGTACATATGCCACCCTCAGCTATCCAGAGGTGAATTTCCACACTGTGCATCCCATTATGCCCTTCGATTAGCCTTGCACTTCTTCAGTCAATGTAGTAGAATTGTTTTTTTTTTTAAAGATTTATTTATTTATACAAGAACTGGGGAACAGGACAGATGTACAGGAGGGTGAGAGGATTCACCAGAGACAAAGCGGGGAGCAGAACAGGCAGATTGATGAAATATACTGCTGAGGGGAGCAGCGGGCGAGATAGGAGAGGTCTGCCATGCCATGTGGGTTGCTCCACAGCCGGCGGGGATCAAACCGGTGCTGCAGAGGCTGCGGACAGCTTCACAGCACTGTGCTCAACTGCGCTCAACCGCCTGCGCCACCAGGGAGGCCCAATGTGATAGAATTGTTGATGGGGGAAAATACACAGAGAGTGGCTGCCCTTAATGAATCTATGAGGATCATCTCGGCAAACTCCTGTTCTCTCTTTCTCACAGTAGTTCTAACAACTGAAACTTGACCGTAATGTCCTATTCACAGACAGTCTACCCCCTCATTCACTTACCTGCTCTGGATACTTTCTACCAATGATCTCTGCCACAGTGTTGAAGGAATCGGCATCTGGGTAGTTCCTCGCCCCCATCTTCAGCTGAATGACAACTCTGTTCCCACGAGAAACTATTCTTGATATCATTTCAGCATCTTCTACTGTGATGCATGCTGTGGGGATCTTGGGCACACCATCCTGGTACTGCTGAACACCTGTGTGAGGACTTAAGAAAAGAAGCCACCCGGTTACCTTCAACGTGGAAATGCATCATATTCTTTTTTCTTTTGATGAGGAAAATTAACTTATAACACAGTATATGCTTCAGGTATACAGATCTCACCTCAGCAACTGTATACTTGACACCATACCCACCACCAAATATCCTCTATATTCAACATTTGACTTTCACTGTTCTTTATTTGCACAGGAGGTGTAGCAAGGATGGGCAAAATTGGTTTATTTTCACATTAATGTAAATATTCTTTTTTGGTAAAAGTAACTTAGAACTTCAATTTAATAATAATCTAGTTGAAACATACATAGAATTTATTTAGATAATTTGGAAGATTCTTTCAAGTTACAAGTTGCCTCAAACCTTTAAGAATTTAAGAACATTAACAGTGCCCTCTCAATCAAAAGGTGAACACATGTTTTGGAGGACACAAAAAGGAACTCTGAAGTCCATCAAGGCTATGAGACCACACATCTGGAAGGACACTGGCCCATGAATACCCAGCTCTCTGGTCACTGGCTGGCTCTTCCAAACTTCCACCCAACTCAGGGGTCCAAATGGATAGTCCTGCCCTGGTAGCAAAAGATTGCACAGGAAGACTGGACAACTATGTCTGGGAAATATTCATGTTCCCAAGAATAAAAGTGCTGAATAAGCCCAGAATCATGATTTTACTGTCACAAGAAAAAGAAAACTATTATAATTTTGTCTCTAAATGAAGAATATTACCCCAACAAGTCAAGTTTTTACTGCTAATTTCCAAATGCTTCTTACATTTATTTTCCAGATTCAATTAATTTACACAAGTCAATAATTTACACTGAAACATAATAAGCACTCAATAAATGCTAAATATTAATTACATTAACTTGTCTATTAAATTGTCCCTGCAGAGAGAGACTGCCTAATCTCAAGTTCTTCATATCATCTAAGTTTTATTCCCTTTATGGATATTTCTTTAGTATTACTAAAAATCTTTTTCATCAAATAACTTATAAGCTCAAACTGTAATACAAAAACCCTGTATCTGAATCCCTGTTTTGGATATACCTAATCAACTCTCACTTCTAGTTCAGGGTAGTCTATGGAGACCAGCACAAATCCCTGTCATTCTTTACCACCATGATAACAAGCAATTTAGAATACCTTCTTTCCCCAAATTTCCACATCTCTAAAGTGTAGACCTCATAAGAGTGCTAGGAGGAATAAAATAGATTATATATACAAAGATTAAAAATGGTAATTTTGGCACATTAGGAAACATTAGCTGTTATTATTTCTTCAGTACTAATTTTTCTCACTGAGTTGGTAGAGTGATTAATGACCAAGAAACTAAGGAGCCTGAAGAAAGACATCTAAATATTTACTATTCATATGACCTTACGTGATGTCTGAAATTTAACAAACTCTCCTTGTCCTCAGACTTTCTCACTCAAAAGGAGGTCAGCATAAACTTTCTTAACACCATCTTTTAAACAATGTTGCTAAACAAGTATGTACTAACAAGTCACAGGTAAGACTTCTTACAGTGGGGACAGTGAGCCAGGCTTGTACCCATGGCTTCTTGGAGCAAGATGGTACCAAAAGATATCTCCCAACTGTGATTCTGAATGCAAGATGAAAAAAAAAAACTTATTTGTTTCTGCAATTAAGCATATTCTCCAGTGGTGGAACATCTAGCATTAGTTAGTAGAAATAAGCCAATTTTAAAACTTCATTTCAAGTCCTAATCTTTCACTGCCAATTGTATTTCCGGCAATAATCAGCATAAACACCACCTTCTTGGCTCACTTTTACAGGTCTCATCTGCAATTTAACAATAGCAAAGGGTAAAGGAGACATTTCTCCATAGAAGATATAAAAACAACAGTCAATAAGCATATGAAAAGATGCTCAACATCACTAATCATTAAGGAAATACATATCAAACCTATAATGAGACAACAGCTCACAGTCATTAGGATGCCTACTTGCAAAACAACAACAACAGCAAAAATAAGTTTTGGCAAAGATGTGGAGATATTTTAGAAATCTTATGAACTGTGGTGGGATTATAAGGTAGTCCAGCTTCCTTGGAAAATAGTATATGGTTTCTCAAAAAATTAAAAATAGAATTGCCATCCAGCAATTTCACTTCTGGGTTTATACCCAGAAGATATGAAAGAAAGGTCACAACTGTGTTCATAGCATTATTCACAATAGCTAAAATGTGGAAGAAACTCAAGTATCCATAGCAGATGAATGGATAAACAAAATATGATGTAGAAATTCAACAGAATATTATTTAAGCTGTAAAAGGAAGAAAATCATAACACATGCTACAACATGTTTGAATCTTGAAAACATGATGTTAAATGAAATATAACACTCACAAAAAGACAAGTACTATATAATTCCACTTACGTGAGCTACTTAGAGTAGTCAAAATCATACAGAGAGAATAGAATAGTGATTTCACGGGCTGGGAGCAGGGGGAAATGCAAAGTTCAGTAACTTAGAATTTAGGTTTTACAAGATGACAAGAATAATGGAGATGGGTGGTTCTGATAGTTGAAGAGCATTAAAAGGCATTTAATACAATTAAATTGTACACTTAAAATTGTAAAAATGGTAAATGTTATATTATTTGTACTTTAAAAGCCATTACATACATAAATTAAAATGAGATCCAGTATTATTGGGGGGGGTATATATGCATTCCATGGTGAAGATAACTGAATTAATTTGATATTTCTAGAGTGATGCCCCAATATGTAGCAAGAACTATACAATTTCTTACTTACTTTGTTCTAGTTATTCTGCTATGGAGAATAAACTCTTTCACAATCTCACATTATAATTTTTTTTTTTAAAAAAGCAATTTCTAGGGCCTCCTCTGGTGGCGCAGGCAGTTGAGCGCAGTGCTGTGAGGCTGTCCGCAGCCTCTGCTGTGTAGGTTCAATGCCAGCCTGCTGACCTCTCCTGTCTCACCCACTGCTCCCCTCAGCAGTGTATTTCAGTCAGTCTACCGGTTCTGTTCCCCGCTCTGTCTCTGGTGAATCCTCTCACCTTCCCGCGCATCTCACCATCGCACTGTACCCCAGTTCTTGTATGCATGAATAAATTTATCTTAAAAATGTGTTATTTAAAAAAAAAGCAATTTCTAGTAAGATGCTCTCTGTACGTCTATGTGTAAATGTGAAAATCTAGAAACAACTGAGCAGAGGAACTTTGGGAGAGGTAGTAGGAAGAAAAACACTTGCATGGCAAGAAAATGTTCACAAGTAATACATAGAAACATGTAGATGAAATAGGTTAAATTAAAATATAAAAGTCAAACACAGTGTGCACATAATAAAGATAGAACATGAATTTGAAGTGATGTAAATTTAGGTGATATTTACTTGGTTCTTTGAGAAACTACCATCATCCCTTTAAACTGTAATCATGCAAACTGCAGCATTACCAATAAACAATTAAGTTTTTAAAAGTCTGTGCCACTGTGTATAAAATAACCTGGAAGCAAAGTCATCACAGTAGCAATCTGAATCCTTGAAGTTCTAGGTCACAGATATTTGAGCACCTATTAGAAAATTAATGGAAAAATATCGTTGATGTTTTCTTTTCTTCTACTCTCAATTGCTTGAAATGCTTGCTGCAGAATCCAGTCTATCCTTGTGCTATCTAGGCAGAATGACAAAGCTAATATTTTCTTGATGTCAACCATGCTTGTGTTCAAGGGCTCTTCCTGTAGATCTGGTAGTGTTTTAAATATTTGTTCACATTTGTGTACATCTTCTCAGTCTCTGAACCAACAGGTACAGGTTTTAGACTTCTAATCTTTAGAAAAGTCCCATGTGAGATGTCTGTCCCACAATGATAGAGAGCGGAACAGAAGTAATTCCAAAAATAGTGCCAGTGTAGTAGGAAATCAGCACTCAGTTACATCAAAGGAGGAAAATAATATCTATCAGCAGCATCTCTGCATCATTATCCGTAAATTTGCTTAAATAAAATATCTCCATGAAATAAAAATGGATTGCATATCAATTTAAAATATTCTTCCCTTGGCCTTCTTTTTCGACACCATGAAAAGACCTTTTTCTCAAATATGCTGTATATGTAGTGGAGCTCTGAACTCTATAGATTTAAGGAAAGGTAATATTCTCATTCCGTGGAACTCCAGAGAATGTGCCATTCCTTCAAAATCAGAAAATACCACAAAGAGAGGTAGTTAGACTCTGACAGAGCACTTTATAGGACACTGAAAAAAAGTTAAAGATGTGTCAGTAAGTTAGCACTTACTGAGCCTTTGCTGTGTGCCTGTCAGTGTTCTGAGTATTTTAAATAAATTTATTCATTCACTAGCAATCACAACTCTGTGAAGTTATGACTTACTGTCCCCAATTTACAAATAAGGAAACTGAAGCACAGAGAGGCTTAGCCCAGGGTCTCACAACTAGAACAGAACCCTGGTGATCTGGCTTGAATCCACCCCCTTAACCTCTGTAGGACCTACATTACATTAATATCTACATTATATTTACATTATATTACATTAATGTAGATCTATAAGATCTACATTATATTGCCACTCACCACACTAGCAATGATGATGTTAATTTTGAAAATGATTATGATGGTGAAGATGGTAACTACTATTAATAGCAATAAAAAGAATACTATTTAACATTTATGACATATACTGAACTAAGCAACATCACACATCACCTCATTTAATCTGCTTGTCTCAGAAAAGTGGCCAAAAGGTGGCCCCCAAATGGCCACATAACTATTTCTGAAGTGAACTGATGTAATAGGCCAGAGTTAGTAAATAGGATGAGTGCTCCATATAAGAAATAGTGAAATGTCTGGATCATATGGAAGCTCTATGTTTAGTAGGTCCAGAAATCTCCACACAGCTCTCCATAGTGGTTGGACCAGTTTGCACTCCCACCAACAGTGCAGGAGAGTTCCTTTTTCTCCACATCCTCGCCAACATTTGTTATTGC